GTCTGCCTTGGGGGCCTTGTCAATGAGCTCCCTAATAGGTAATGAGCAGTCGGCGATGAAATCGTTTCCAGAGTACTTGTCGTGATCCATCACGGTAAAGGAGAACGAGTACGTTTGCTCGTGGCCCTGTACTTGGAAAATCATTTTTTCGTTGAAGACCGGGTTGAGGTTGTGCCTCACTCGCTTCGTTCGGTACGTCTTCTTGCCGAGTGACGCAACGACGAAAGGATCCATGTCAAATGTAGTCCGGGTGGAGTTGGGCTCAGGAGGTAGATCTGTAATGTTCAAGACTTCGAGATAGATGACTCCCACAACGTCGCTTCCACTATTATTGAATTCGTATGTTTGGTCTCTCCTCTTCTTCTTCAGGCCCTTAATCCTCAGGCGTCGTTTGCGTTTCTCGGCGACTTCGGGTTTGCTGGGATCCTCGTCTTCAGGGGTGTCGTCTTCGATGTCGAGATCGTCATCATCGTCGTCTTCTTGATAAGCGTCGGTCTGATTGCGCGAAAGCGGAGGCGACGGGTTTGTTCCACTGACCCTCATGTTCTGGACCGGTTGGATGAGGGGGGTCATGGTCGGTGTAATCTGTCGGGAGCCTGCTGGCAACTGATTGAGCAAGGCATTGAGCTTCTCCAATATTTGTTCGTGGGAAGCGGCGGTGTTCGACTGGTCGAAAAGGGTGAACTGGAGCATAACCTCGCCAGAGACCACGCTGGTCTTCTTGCCGGGTCTCTTGCTCTTGAGAGGGTACCATTTCGGGGCTTGCTCGATTTGCTCATTGGCGAAGATCTCCTCCAGAGCAAGGTCGAACTCGCCGAGGTAGTCCTTGCCGAAGCGGTCCTTGTCCCAACATATAACATCGAGAAGGAGGCTATGGGTCGAATTGACTGGAAGTTCTTCGATGACGTTCCACTCTGGGTTAAGAGTCTTGGGCACCTCGTGGGTGGTCACTTTGGCGTCGCCGAGTGTCAAAACCAGGTACTAGGAGACTTCATGTTAGACAATTGGAAAGGAAGGGGCGCGCGGGTTGGATTCGATTTCGTACCGGATCGGACGTGCCACGTCTATCTTTTGCGGCAAGGTTTCGAGCCTAATATGCACCAAACGTCAGCAATTGTGTATCTTGATCCAGCCTGGATCTGCGCACGAGCGCCAGAGTGACAATGCAGTACCTTCATAACGACGACCTTCAAGGTCAAGCCATTCTCCTTTGGACTCAGCTCCATCTTGCTGTTGGTGCTGCCGGTGCTGTTGTTTCTCGTAGGACTGCTGCTGCGGCTGTTGCGGAGGGAGGAGCTGGACTTGAGTCGTCCAGGGATGATGCGGACCATGGTGGACGACGGCGGGTCGGGGAGCGGCCCCTAAAAAGAGTTGCGGCAAGCCAAGAAGAGGGTTTGGAGGGCGCAGGGCACACGACGTGTGTGTGAGGGCGACAGGCCAAGAGCAGACACCACTCACGGGCAGAGCGGCCAGATTGGGGGGGCGGGGTGACGTAGGAGACGCAATGCGGAGCGCTGGGAAAGCCTTAGGTCGCGTCAGGTACTTGCGGTACCTTACGTATTTGGCTCCAGCGACTATCCGATTGTCATGAGCCGACAGGCGAGATGTCCGACTTGTTTCTGGGGTGGGCGTACAGAGCAAGGCAGCTCTTCTTTCCCAACCTCTCACACACCTCGGCTTGCTGTTGCTGTTGCTGTTGCTGTTGCTTGTTGGCGCGCCCGAATTGTTGTTGGCAGGCCCCCAGGTGGTAGGTAATGAGTGGAGCGATGGTACTGGTGGTGGCGTGCGGCAAGCAGGCAGAGGCGCGCGCGCTCAGGAGATGAGGTAGCGCAGCTGCAAGTCGTGACAGGGTTTCGGTAGCAGTATGGTTTGCTGGTTGCTGATCCGCGCTTCTCAGCGAGTGTGACGCTGCGCTCTGTCCTTTACAATATGTGCTTCCCTGCCAGTTGGACTGCTCAACGACACAAAACAGCGAAAGGTGGCGTTTACTCGAGATAGCTCTGGACGAATTGGCGATGACTAGCGAGCCACACGTAACAATTGCTGTCGGATGTGGTTGGGGGAGGCCTTTTGGTAGCGTGTCGAGCAGGGGCCTTTGGTTGCTTCGACGTAGAGCTGAAGACCAATTCCGGTTCAGGTTTTTAACCTCGCAGGTTCGGAACCGTCAACGACGCTTGAGATGAAGCCAATGTCAGTATTGGTCGGTGATGGATCTCACGGAGGGAAGAAATGTCTAGTAGGTGAGGAAAGGGGGGAGAGCTGGAAGCCGAGAGCAACGAAGAGAAGAAGAAGAAGAAGAAGAAGGGAGAAAAGAGATGAGGTGGGAGCTTGGGGCCCCCTTGAGGGCTGATGTCTGAATAATAAGAGGCCCGGGGTCGAGAATGGAAAGTTGAGTGAACAAATGTACAGATTTAATTATGTGGCTTCGATGCACATCCAACCTGGCGCCACCGCCATGTGCAACTGGAACGAAGGAGCAAGCTAGGGAGAAGGGCCCGAAAGGAAGAAGCAGGAAAGGTAGGGTATTAGAATGATTTAGACGCTTTTACTTTTTGTTTCCTGTAGAGTAGAGCCTCAAAGGAAAACAGGAAGAAGGTGGAGGAGAGGGTGAGAGACGGAGAGAGAGGGAGGGAGAATGAGAGAAGCAGAAGCAGAGGCGTCGCAGAACTCCACGGCTTAATGCGAGCGGAGGTCGAGGTCGGAGAGGGAGCGAGAGCACTCTGGAGCAGGGGAGAGAGAGAGTGAGAGAGAGAGAGAGAGGAAGAGAGGAGCGGTTACCTATCTTAGCTATGAGAAGGTAAGAAAAGGTACGGATACCTCTGGTTGAATTGTAAGAGACGCGGTGTTCGGGGTACCTTTTTTTTCTTGTTGTTTTTACGTCCGATGTGGCCGTGTAAAAGACAAGATAAAACGTATAGCGAGGGTATTCAGGCCGGGCGGATACTTTGAGAATTGGTGAGATTTTGGTGGTGGAGCAAAGTACCGTCTCGTCTCGTCGTATGTTCTGTTCCAGCGTATTTCGTCCCAGATACGATGAGTTGCGGTAGGTGGCCGTTGGCTGGAAAGTCTGCGGGTGCTTCGGCTCGTGGTGCAATCCCCTAGCGAGCAAAGTGGCCACTGTTTGGGGTGGGTGCGGTGGGTTCACTTGAGGCGTTTGGCGTAGTTTGGGGGTGGGAGGCGGGAACCAGAGCAGGGAACAGAGCTGGAGACAGCACGGAGCTGGAGCTGGAGCTGGAGCTGAAGCTGAGCAGAAACTTGGGTTGAAAACAGCCCAGCCAGACACAGAAACTCTGAGGTGGGAGAGAAGAGAGACGCTTTTGGGCACCTCACACGAGGTAATGGAGATATTAGGTAGGCAAGTAACTTGGGTTACGTATGTATTACTTGGTACCTTGGTCGCTAACAGCTAGACATGGAGATTGTATTCGTTACGCCTAAGCACTGGCATACTCATAGAAGGGCAAAGGTTTAAAAAGTAAGGAAGAAGGATAGATCACAGAAGAAGCCAAGTAGAGTTCGGGAACGAGACCAGACGACACCAAGGGGGGGAGGTCCAGGCCATGTTTTTGTCTTTCGTCTTTTTTCTCTCACCACATCTCAACACCAATCTACATACACCGCACTGGCTGGAAGGTGGTCTCTTCAAGTGCTGTGTATATAACGTAGGCGAAAGCGAGTTTTACCTATGGTCCCGCCTCTACGGTGTACCCAAGCGAGCCATGCACACCTCAAGTTGCAACTCGCATTGGATACGTGAGCGAACATGTGAGTGAGGCATTCATTCCCGGCCCACCCAGTCTGCGACCTGTCAGTGTGGTACATTTCTAGGGTGGATATCATCTCTGCAGTACGTACCCGCCCAGTCTTACATCGGTGTCAGCATGTGTATAGTACTTTGAGTCTGGGTACATCATCCGTCAAGCAATGCAGGAAAGTACTTCAAAAGCAAGCAGACAAGGTACCGCCGTACCGAATTGGAAACACCCAAGGAACGACATCCTCCCGTCTACCTTACCTTAGGTACCTCTCACGTCCCTACTACTCCGTAGGTAAGACGAAGATGTGTTTTTAGACGCCCCTTCCTGAATTCCCTCCTCAATTCCTACAGCAGGTCCAACCACATCAGTTCCATTTCCCTTGTGATATGAAAAGAAACAGAAAAGACCACGTACCCAACTTGCACTTAAGCCTTCCAAGTTGAGATAGAGCAAGAACGCAAACCCACAGCAAGATAAGGTACGGATAAGACAAGCAGGAATGAACGCCAGAATGCTTGGCCCCCACGCTGTGGGCAAGCAAGACAGACACGAAAATGAAGGGCGAGAAACAGCGTAAATTCAACTTGCTTTTCTGCACTTGCTTTTGTTCCATCATGTGCTTGGCCTTTTTGCTGTTTCTCAACTCCGTCGCATTGCATTTTCCATCGCCTCTTCGCCCTTTCGATTTCACCACATGGACCTGACCTTTGGTGTTTTCATCACTCCATCACCCTCGAGAGTAAATGCCTCTCCCTATCGCTTCCGTCCCCTTCATAACCAGCCAGCAGACAGTCGTAGCATCTCGGACTCGCACAATTCCCCGTGCCTGACCATCACTGCGCACCTTATTTGTCCATCCTATCAGACTGTCTCCTCAATTCGATGCAGCTCCCTGCTCTCCCCCCATCTGTCCCCAACGCCCCATCCACAGTAGTCGCTATGCCATCCCGAATCCCGTCTGTCGCTTGTTCTTTTCCCTCATGTTCGTCCGCTTCCCTGTCAATGTCATGCCCTGCTGGGCCCTGGCCTGCTCTCCTCTTCCGCCCCGTCGGTCGCGTGCCTATCCCCTCGGTCGCTTGTCGCCGTATTGGCGACACCCGCGTCTCGTCAACATATCGCGCATCACGATAGACCTCCCAAGTCCAGTTAGCCGGTCCCTCCCTACTCCATACGGTGTACGCTGCGGCTGTACCCCAAGCATTGCCCAGCAGCCTGGATTGCCCCCTCCCTCTTGAATGTTGAACAATTCATCATCATGTCCGATTTCCCGCGTCAATCCGTTCCGAATCTCTACCCAGACGCAGCAGGCCACGAATCTTCAGCCGGGAATGAGACAGGCCCAAGTCCTTGTCCATGTCGATAGCCCCCCAGACAATGCCCCTCCCCCTCCCCAGAATCTCCTCACCTACGGATACGGATACACGCTCATACGCTTCACCCGCGTCTTCCCAACCAAGTCGAATTCCAGCTCGCCCAGCCAGGCAGAGGACTCAACTATCAAATCTCGAGACCTTTCCCGCCGCCCCCCTGAATTGCCGCTCGATCCCAACGGCTGTCACCGGATTCTCCCTTGCTTCCAGCCAATGTAGCCCAACCTTCAAGTTTCACAGCGTGGGCAAATCTGTTAAAATCACTCACCTTCACTGCTATACGATTTTCCATACCTTTCATCCCAAGCTCTATTCTTTATCCGTAGACCAGGTCTGGATGCCTCGTCGTCGGCCTGTTTAGGCCGTTCAATTTATCCTTCTCACTATACCGAAACCCCCTCTTCAAAAGTCCCCCCCGCCTCCGGTCTTTCATACGAACCCCATACGATCTCTCGATATGGTGTAGTTCGTCGATGGCGTGGCCCCCTCTTCCCCTCCATCTCCACGAATCCAGTCTGTCGGCTTGTGCCCCTCGTCGGCTGCAACAGCACCTGCAGCAACCGCACCGTCCAAGTGTGTCCGTAGTACCGCACAACATGGCTACCCGTAACCCTACAGGCGGGTTTTCCATCTTTCCCTTCTGCCGCATCCGTACGACTCAGCTCGGACATAGGTTGCAAGACAGCGGATTTGAGAGTAAGAATTGATGAATGAAAGGCTGGCTCCCTCCATCTCCCTTCCCTCTAAATGCAACATATCGGGAGGCTCTCCGCGCCAAGACCTCATGCTGCGTAAGTCCAGCATGGGAAAGACTTTCAATGTGCCGCCCAAGAGTCTTGGAGAGTCTTGGTCGATCATTCTCCGGTCAAGTGCCAGCGCGAGCCAAGAGAAGCGGCTCGTGCCATCTGAACGTCACCTCAACCTTACAGAGTAGTGCTGCATGGACATTAGGCCCAAGGTTGTGGGTAGAGGGGCTAAGAAACGATGAACTGCCAGCCGTTCCCATCTTGGCACGGGCAAGCCTCGTCATCAAAACACCCACCATCTTTGCCCGGCCCTGGTTTGTTGTTTACTCAACTCCCAATCGCACTCATACGTGGTAGGCTCCCCAGCTTTTCCTAGACGAAAGTTGAACTTCTACCAAGAGTCGTCAGTAAGGTGGGCAGAGACGGATAAGTGATAGTCTTGAAACAGCAGACTGCCAAACCGCCCCGAGAAAAGTCGTTTGCCTGCCAGGAACAAGCCCAATTAATCAAGGTATCTCGGGTAACTTAGGAGTACCTAAAACTACTTAGCACGGAAGGGTTCTGGCCGTCGCCTCCATGTTACAATCGAACTATCCTCAGCCTTCACAGTTTATCCCACTTGTTGTACTTGCTATACATGTACAATCTGAATAAAGAGCAGATTGATTCCGGTGTGAATGTAAGTTTCCTAGACATCTCCTAGTCTCCTGCGTGCTGAGCCCTATACGGCAAAGACCTCCCAAGGTACGGAGTACGGGCAGTGACCTAAAATTGCATAGCGCTAGAACGTGGTTAGTAAAAGCCTGGCCGGGCACGGGCCGTCTTGACGCCCCCCCCCCCCCCCCCCCCCCCCCCCTTCCCCAACGATCCAAGCTTTGCATCGCCAGCTCCTACGCCCACCGTCGTCAACAATCACACTTAGACGGGGCGGCCACGACCAAGTTTCTTCCATTACCTAGCCGATAACCCGTCTTTCTGAGGTCACTTCCGCCAGGCCCAAGATTAATTTAGGTCCAATTCAAATTCAATTCGGCCGAAATCACCCAATCGAATCGAACCAAGGCCAAAAAAACAATAACAGGGCGAGGGCGAGACAAACTAGCTGACACTGGTGAGCGGCTCACCCAGAAGGAACATGTGCGCAGACGAATGAGGCCAGCAGGACATCCAACGATCGGCCGGTCTCTGCAATGCCCCTCGTCAAACTCACCCCCATCTTCGTCAGAATGACTCTCGAGTCTTGACCGCAGGCCCCTTCCCGTTCGATTTGCTTCTTGACTACGGCTCCCCCCTCTTGCTGTTCGCTGACGTTCAGGGCGACGAGGAGAAGAAGCAGAAGCCAGTTCACATTTTTCGCTTCGACACGTCTGCACTCTGCACAGCATTGGTTCCAAGACCCAGGCCTGCAAGCCAAGCCAAGTAAAGTACTCGAGGCCTCCAGCAAAGAGAAGCAAATGATAAAAAACCTAGGACACCTAGGTAATTAATGACCCCGTTCCTCCTGAATCTCCAAGACTTTCCAGCCATGCCCAGCAAACGTAACCACCCACCCACCTCATTCAATTTCAACCCTCCTTCACTCAAGACCCCGTCTTGGCCTTTCGGTGGCTCTCCCCCGGCTTAGCCTTGGGGGAGCTCCATTTATGACGCAGGCTCACTCACCCACTCACCACCAATGCGCCAGTGACTGGAGCACAGGAGCACATCACGGCCTTTTACTCGATCGAGGCGCGCCCCCAGCGGTGGCAGGGCCAAGCCTCGAGCCTTTTTTCGGCCGGATACCCGTCCGCGTGGAGCTAGCTGAGCGCTCCCGAGCACCCCGACTCCGACGACATTGGTCTCCCTTTTTTTTTTTTTTTTTTCCCCACCATATCCTGAATCCTTATAGTGATTAGTCTCCACCGTTGGACTAGTTCACGCTCGGTTTTCTTCCATCCCAAGTGTTTCGACGTTTTCAACGGATACTATGTATGTGCTGAGTGCTCGGCCCGTGGTTGATGATACTATTCACCGATCGATGGCCGTCTAGCCGCCTATGGGGTGGCGCCCTCTTTCGGCGCTCGAGTTGTGGGATAGGTGTAGGTAGGTGGAAGGTCAGGCCAGGCTTGCTGTGGTTTGTTCGCCGTGACTTGTAATGAGGACGCCGTAGGCTTTGAGTTGAGGCTGATTGTCGATAACTGGACGAAGTACATCTCGGTTCGAAGCATGAAGCTGTCCCGCCGTTGGTCTCAAGCCTATCTGACCCCTGGCTGTAACTCATTGTGGCACATGCAACAACTACATTATCGAGGTTCGAGGTTCCTTATATGGCACTCTTCATATGTTTTCATCACGGTGAATATCCTACTTCCCGCTGAGCACATTCTGGTGTCCGAGTCTTCTGGACTTCGCCATCTTCGTATCAACATCGGGTAAGACAATATCTCGATCAAGGAGAATATAGCCTTGTTTCATTACCAAGTACAAAAGTATGATGCTCATCTCCAGATGAGTGAAAACATGTAAAGCCATTGCATCGACCAGACAAACACAATGTGGTAAACTGCTAAACGCAAGATTGTTTATACTTGCACCATCCCGTCGTACGGTCTTTGATTTTCCTTAAACATGGAGTCTAGATCTCTTCACTGCTCCTAGGTTTCATGAAGACAAGAGCGGACGGTATAGAAGGGGAATGGCAATGAAACAGAGGTCTGCCTATGAAGGCCGATAATGGAGTTGATCCCTCTATGACTCTCCATCAGCTTTACCAAGACGGTGTTTCGCATGAGACACACACTTTGACGGCGGCGTTGTTCGGATCTCCTATACTGAAGACTCTCTTGTTCTCATCTCACTATTCAAGCAAACGATAATCCCATATAGAGTATCTCAGTATTTGATCGGAAAGCATCGCAACCCATTCCAGGGTTGCAACGTATCCATCACCCGGGTATCAAACTCTACAGCTATAGGTATCCGGCCTTTCATTCAGCCAAGACCGAACAATCCAAGCCCTGGTCCTCACGCCAGGCCATATCCTGCTATCCCATCCTCCGCAAAAGGGGCGAAAGCAAACAACCCAACCCAAACCTCACAACCCCATCCTCCTTACCAGTCCCCTCCTCCTCCTCCTCTTCCCGCCCATCAACTTCACACTCTCCGCCCAATCCCCCGTCCCATTCCCCGGATCCGCATCCCTCGCCTCCCTCTCACAAACACTCCCCGCCCTAGCCTTCCCATTCGGCCCATCAACAGCCTCAAACTCCCTCTTGCTCTTCAACCCCGTAACCATAGCCTTGGCCGCCTCCTCCAGCCACCCATTCACAAAATCCCCATGAAGACACCGACTCCCGCCACACGCAAGCTCAATAGGCGGATCCCCACCCTTCCACCCCTCCGGCACCGCCTTTTTCGTATCATACCGAATACTAAACCGCAACTGCGGCATCCTCTTCATCCCCGCCGCACACGTCCCGCTCTTCTTATCAGAGTAGGCGGATCGGAGCGTCGTCTCGTCAACGCAGTCCGGGAACCACAACACGGCCTGCAACGAAGTCGAGCACGTCTCCTGCGGGAACTGCGCGTGGTCTTTCCCGCCCGCGTCGAACGCCTGGTTCTGGCAGAGCCAGGTCACGTCGGCGCCGGGGACCAGGTCCGCTTCGGTGGCGGCCTTGGAGTTGCCCGCTACCACGGAAAAGTCGGGCGGGATGGGCACCTCGGCCGGGTCCTTGTCAAAGTTGTAGTAGGCTACAAAGGAGACTGGCTCGATGGGTGTTCGGGTTTCGCCTTGGACGTGGTAGAGGGTCGGGATCCCTAGATCGCTTTGATGTAAGCTGGTGATTTCTTTGACCATGCTTCAACTTGGTCTTTAGACGATACCAGAAGAGGGGATTTCCAATCACAATGCTGCCAGATATGCATACATGCCAGGAAAGACTGGAGGAGAAAAGTAAGAAAAGAGATGCTCACAATAAACAGAAAAATCATTCGGATTCTGCGCCGTAGAACACCCCTTTTGCAACTCGGCCGTCGAGCTCATATTCACCTTGACCGCGTCGCTGCCAAAGAAGCTGTGCATGTGGCTCTTGTACTGGCCCGGAATGACGATAGGGTCGATATTCTTGCGCATGAAGAAGTCGACTTTGGTGTTTGTAAAGGCTGCTGCCGGGCCTGCTGCTGCTGCTGCCGCTGCTAGGAGCAGGGCGATTCTGTCTGATGACTTCATTTGGGTTGTCTGTGTTCAAGCGAGTGTGGTCTTTAAAGAAAGAGAGTGAGATGAGGGAAATGAACAGGTTAGAAATGAATGACAGTCTTCCACCTTTCGCTTCTTCTTCTTCTTCTTCTTCTTCTTCTTCTTCTTCTTCTTCTTCTTCTTCTTCTTCTTCTGCTGCTGGAAAATGAACAGACCTGCCGCGCTGTGTATACCGACGAGGACCGAATGGCGCGGAAACGACAAACAGGAGCAAATCAGACGAACTGCAAGCAGGGCGGCCACATCCTCCTTTAAACCTCGAGTCTAATCCCCTTTCTCTACCCGTTTACCTTTGGATGACCATGCAAGACTTTTAACAATAAAAGGCTCTCCAAACTCTACGGATTACGACAGACATCCCCGGTCCTGACAGGAAAACACAGCGAGAGAATGGATGGGTGGGTAGATGGGTGCATGTTACCGGCGGCCTTGGCATTGTTTTAACCATATCCCCGGGCCCTCCCCCCTTCCAACTCTACCATCTACTCCGTACCCCCACGAAAGTTAAGTTTAATGTACATCAGATGCGCTCCCGTCGCTGTTAGATTTAAACATTTCTTGGCCTTTAATCTGTGGAAATCCGTCAGAGTAACTGAACAAGTCTGACGGACACTCCATGTAGGCGAGAGTCCGATCCGATTCCCAGTACCACCACACCCCCTGGACTCTGTTGATCCTTCACTTGGCGCATAGATCAGACCAAAGTCTAGAAACCCACCACATGGGGCGGAGAAATTGTGGCATCTTCAATCTGAGTAAAATGACTAGAGACAGGTCGGATTCGGTTTGAACAAGTCACTCGACTTGTGTAATGGTTCGTTGCAGTGGTGAACGGTAGATCACCGACGTTAAAGTCGACCTGAGCCCGTGTATAAGGAAGGGCCCGAGTGGCGTTCAAGACTCATGAGCTCATCGATGATAACCTAATACTTGTGACCTTTACCTTCCTCTTCTTCGGACAAGTCAGCGCTGTCTGACTCTGGCGATAATCAGCCTGCCTTTCGACAAGCGCAAACACCACTTGAAGTGTACTCAAGTGTACTAGGTGGCTCTGAAGCTTCATTTCAACACATTTCATAGTAAGTGTGACTTCAGAATATACATTTGAGCACGTCAGACCCGGCGGCCTTCTCGCCCCAAGGAGGGCGAGGAAAAGGGGTCATTTCTTTAGAATGCTGTTGTACACTAGTACAGGTTTCAGTAGCGACTGTCCGTTTTGGCTGCTTTCCTCCTCGACTCCGATGAACTCCTCTGTCCCGGTCGCTGAAGATGAATCCATCCACATCCCCAAACAACCGACCGTAGAAAGCGAACCTGATCCCCTGGGTGTCTTTGAAGACGCAGAGCAAAACTTGTTTTTTTTTGTGAATGCCGAACTCCCTTCTCGCGTTACGTCTTTGCTTGCTTCTCATCGTCTCAAAAAGTCCCCAATCCAACATTTCATGTCGCGCAAATTACGAGTACAAGAGGCGGCGAATATGCCGCCGTATTATGCCAAGATGGCAAGGCGTAGGAGACAGAAGCTCAGTCCTCAATGGCGTTCTCATCGGCTGGCTTTGCTGGGCTGGTCATGCCTGCCTTGACGTTGCCACGGGCCTTTTCCTGACTCTCAACGAAGCGATCCCAGTGCATGGGATCAAGTGCCCGGAGTCCCTCTCGGACTTGATCGCGATCCTCGTTGAAGACGCGCATGATGCCCTTTTGTTCAACCTTTTGGGTCAAATCAGGGTCGTCGATCTCTTCAATCATCTGGTGAAGCATGGCAGTGTGCTTGGGGTCGAGACCGACTTCGAGTACACCGCTAAGCAGGCCATAGTACTCGGGCTTGATGATTCCAGAACGAATCTTGTGACCGGCCCTGTGCATTCTACCCTCCTCTTCGGCGAGTGCTTTCGAGGTGTGCGACAGCGTCGAATTCGTGCGCGGCAGACCAGGCCGAACCGACAAGCCGGTCTCGTCCTCGACATCGGATGGAATGCTGTGCTGATCAGGATCTTCTGTCGAGGAGAGTGATGTACCGAGTTGATCACTCTGACTGGGCAGGGTGGTCTCCGATGCCTCATCCGTGGACACACGGGTTTCAGGAAACTCATCTTCGAACCGTTTGATGATGTTGGCAAGGGTGACGTCGAGGAACATCAACTTGCGCAAGTTGTGCTCATCTTCCTGCGGGTTGACTCTAGCCTTGGACAGTGCAGGCTGCAGCCGCTGGCGAATCTTGCGGGCGCTGGCCAGTAAATGCTTCGACATATCCTTTGCCTTTCCAGGAGGCAGCTTTGGTCGCGGGCTAGCAGGTACTGGAACACCATCTTCAAAGTCCCGGATGAACTCGCCAGATTGCCTTCTCGATTCATCTCCCCTGTTCTTGAGACAGCAAGTGAGAGCCTTGACAACACCGGTGCCTCCAATTACATAGTCGTCATCCGGCGCAGACTCGTTGTCCGAGTCTTCTCTGAGAACGTCGTGGCCGACGAGGTGTGCGAGCACATCGGGGTAAGGTGGGATTGGGCCGCCTGGCAACGAGTCCCCGGACTCGGCTAGGACTGTTGAAATGACCGCGCTTATGTCGCCAATGGGGAAGCGCTCCATGTTCCGCAAGCAATAGGCGACGACTTGCTTGGCCAAGGCCTTGACGACCTCGCCGGACTTGTCGCTCGGTACATCGATGTCGACACACACGATAGTCTTGGAGACACGGGTGGCAGCCAGGAAAGATGCATAGAGTGCACAAGCTTCCTCCTGAGCATCCTCAGTTTTAGCGTCTGCAAGTTTGACCAGTTCTGGGTTCTCTAGGAAACTGATATGAGCAAGCATTTTAGCCTCGGGGAGAATTTCGGCGAGCGCAATGGATTGCTCAGAGGTCATAGCGACATCGGCAAGGTGAACACGTCGCAGCCCTTGTAGCTTTGGAAGATACCTAGATGTTGTCAGCTTCTTAGTCTTAGGGTGTGACTTGGTGTGACTTACTTGCGCAAGAGACCAATGGCGCTGGGATCCGATTTGCACAGATCCCGGTTGTGAGAAAGGTCGATGAAGCGGAAATCTTTGAGTTGAGCAAGTGCAGGGAAAATTTTACACAGCGAGCCAGGCTTCAAGTTGCACTCAGCCAGACTGAGCGCCCACAAAGAGTCCTTTTCTGAGATCGCATTGGCAATGATGTCAGTATGGTCTCGAAGATCGTTGCCGCCCAGGTCAAGGCCTTCGCATCCGCTTGTGGACAGATATCTGGCAACATGCCTGAGCCCCTTTTCATCAATGTTGTTGTGAGCAAGACCAAGTCGCTTTACACCACACTGAATGATACCGTCTATTACGACGCCAAGGTCGTTTGAGTTGAGGTTAGTCTCTCCGAGGTTGAGTAATTCCAACGTAGAACCCCCTAGTCGTTCGCCAATGGCCTTGGCAAATAGGGTTGCGCAAATGTTCTGAGGTTGCTCGTCATTGGAATGATGTCTGAGCAAGTGATGGCCGTGCCCGTTTCCGTTTTGTGAAGGTTGAGGAGGCCGGGGGAAAGATATCGTCGAGACGTCGAGGAATTTGAGCGTTCGGCAGAGGTAAATGAAGAGGAACATGTGCTTCCAACCCTCGGGCCCAATCTTGTTGTTCTTGAGGACGAGTCGTTCGACAAAGCCGCCCTGCGTAGTGATACCGTCTGCTTTAGTTTGCTTCCGCCTCTTTGAATCAGGCTTCTTTGCAGCTAGGAGACCTGCCAATATCACCCTGATGCCTTCGTCAGTCAGGCCGCAATTCTCCAAGATGACCTCCTTCACTGGCACAACCGCCAAGTAATCGCCCAGAGTGATCAAGTCAGGAAGCTGCATCCAGTAGCCCGTCAAATCCAACTTCTGCACCATTCCTATGTCGGCAGAGCAATTTGAGGGGCTGTTGAGCTGTTCGGTGATCTTCTTGAGAATGGGTGTCTCTCTCAACTGGCAACAACGGCGATATATCCTCACTGGGTTTGTTGTAGGGGACGCTGTCGTCTTGGGTGTCGCGGCTGGTGTACCGTCGCTGGAAGAGTCGCTGTCGTCGACGTGGATTTCCATGGGAATCGTGCCGTTAGCCTCAGCTTGTTTCCGCTTCTTCTCCTTCCTAGCTTTCCTCTCTTCCTCGCTCTTCTTCTTCTTGTCCTTCTTCTTGGTCTCTTTCTCCTTATCCACGGATGCAGCGCTTACGCCGTTCGCGTCACCCTCCTTGGCCTTGGCTGTGTCCGTTCCCTCCGTTTCAGGCTCCTTTGGCACGGTCTCGCCAGTTGTGTGAATGAGGCCATCGCGCTCCTTTTGCTCTTCAAGACTTTTCGGATTCTTCAGTGCCTCGCCCTCTCCCTTCTCCGTCATCTTTTTCGTTTTTGACTTCTCCAGTGGCTTTTTAACGGGCACGTCTGTATCGACGTACTTGGGCATTGGAGCAATTTCGACATCGACGCTGAATGCGACCCTCCGGAGTTTCGCCTGATGCAAGTCCGAAATCTGGCAACGTTCGCGGTTGCGGTCCACATTCAGAATCTTTCGCTCCACCAGGCCATGTGTTCCTCTCGTTCCTTGTCCCAAGACGCCACCTGATGAAGACAGTCGGCGGAAGACTCCCAGAAAGCCGGCCTGGCCGCGTCCGGGAGGTGCCGGGGTGTACGGCTGGTCGCCATCGTTTTTAGCGGCGTGCGCGAGCACGGCATTCTTTGCAGGAGTTACTTTCGGGGGCACTGGGCCGGAGTCCTTTGGCGGAGTGCTTTGTGCTTGCTGGTTTGCCTGGGCAGCCTTGCTGTCTGGTGAAGAGGAAAACTTGGAAGAGATGTTGGAAAACCACGAGTTCCGGCGGGCTGGCGGAGTGCCGTTGGGCCCTGGTGATTTTTCGTTGGATGGACTTCTGCCTAAAGGCGGTCTCGAGACTGGGATAGGTTTTGTGCCTTCTGTCGTCGCTTTTGAAGTGTCTGTTGCGCCGTTGGTGTTGCCGTTGACAGCGGTTTGGCCGGTGGTCGGAGAGGGGAGTGGTGATGACTCTTTAGGTGCGGACGTCGAAGATCGGCGTATGGGTATTGATTTCGGTGGCCTGTCTGTGAGGCGCATTTTGGATTAGCAGGGGGGATGTTTGGGTACTTGGGTGATTGTGAAGATAGTGCGCGATAGAGAGGCAGAGGCAGAGGCAGGAAAGAAGGCGGAGGGACGTGACGGGCTCTTGGATATATCCACAGGCCAGGACCGAGAGGCCCAGAGATCCGGTCAACAATGGCAAGCGCTCGTAGGTCGATTCCGAGCTGCTTATCTGGGTCGACTTGGCTTGGGATGCAGGTGCAGACAGGGCAGCGTTGGCGAGGGCGATATGAGTGGTGAGTGGGTGACTGGGGGTCCAGCGCAACAGCCAACTAGCTGCCCTGGAGAATGAGGTCAGATGGGACGTTTTTGCCTACCTTTCGGAGAGCCGCCGTGGGTCATCCAGCTAACATCTACTCCATGAACCTGCTCCATAACGATTGTCGCAGAGATGCTGTGTAAGGATAGAACACAGGTCGAAGACCAAAGGCACCGCAAACGGGCCTAGGGGAAAAAAAAAAGAGGCACGTCGTCGTCCGGGCAGGTGAGGAGTAGGCGACGACGAGGGGAATGCTTGGCGGAGGAGGAGGGGGAGAAGAAGACAGTGGTGGTTGTCACTTCTTCTTTTTTGGCGCAACAGAAAGGAATGGAAGTGTCGCGCGCCCAGACCGGGCAGAGGGTGAGTTTTTGGTTGATTTCTAAGAGGAGGCGGAAGCGGGAGGTGGAGGGTACTTCGTAGTGTACTCGGAGGTTCGTTGCTTATTAGCCCCGGTCCCTTGGACACCACCTTGGATCCTTCCGGTAAGTCGATTCGGAGCAAGAGCGGACAGCTGGCTCGCTTTCCAATCCGTCCACAGTCCAACTCAGGAAAAGCCGGGTTTGTCTGGCGTGTGAAGGGTGTGCGGTAGGGCGAACGCGGGATGTTGGATGAGAAGGAGGTGGCAGTGGCAGTGGCAGTACGAATACCTAATAGTCGTGGGGTCGTGGTGGTCTTGGGTGATGGCAGGGACCAAGTACTTGGAGCTTTGGAGGACGGGACTCGCGCAGGTTCGGATACCTCACGTCAGGGTCCGGGTCCGGATGGGGAGGGGAGGGGACAGAAGGAGGAGAGGGGACGGCAGGTATTCAAGCTAGCACTGACAGAGAATTAGGAAGCACCTCAGCCATAAAGCTACCTACTTCCAGGTTGATAAGGTAGAGAGAGTCCGTACCTTGCCGTAAGGTTCCTCGAAGGAAAGGCCGGACGTGGCAGCTTTAGCGGGGGGTTCATTAACCTTTTTAGAGGCAACGCATCTCGTCATTGGCAGGAGATGTGCGGCGCCATGGCCCAGGCTGGTTGGATTTTGGAGACATCACTTCACCCAGGGGGCCACCCGGTCTTGGCTGACCCGAGGTACCTAAGCAACTATTGGAGACATAGAGGTCACCAATGTCGTGCTTTCCTCTGCCATTGCTGACTGTTGTCAACTTGTCACCACTTGTTCATCACCAATAGAACAAGATGCTATCATTTCCCGCCCTGGGTTTTCTCATCATCATCCTCGCAATGGAGACCTATGGAAAGAAAGAAAAAGAGGCTTTAACGGCATCCAAACACAAATCCGACCATCCCTGGTGACAATTACCGTCCCTCACCTGCCGTGCTCAAGCATCCTGGCCCGATGGGAAGTCCCGCGTCAACAACCTTCAGACGGACGGACATCTTATGCCGCAAGCTTCCCCGGGACTTGTTTTTCAATGCAGTAATTACTGGACTACCATTTTTTTTTTATTTTTTTTTTGTACAGATACTCCCAACCGCCAATCTTCTCAGGCTTTCTACCTGCCTTAGTATTCCCGTCTTCCCGGCTCGCTCCATCCCGACCCCAGGGCCCAAACTACCTACCCTTTCGTGGGCACTGCGGACTTTGGAGATCAGATCCCCGGGTAATAACCTCGGCCCGCCATGTTGAGACGAGCAGCACGGCAGCTGGGTTGAGATAGGACATCTGTTGCGGAAACATCACACACGTCCACTCGACTGTTACTGCGTAAGGTACGGATACTGCGCCTGTCCGTGCCTCCTCACCGCACACAGCAGCGACCTGACACGGCCAGCCGCCAGAGGCACCGGTATCGCGGTATTCGTGCTCCGTGGATAGCACATACGCAGTAGCTTGGCTCCAGGACCCATGTACTCCGTACTTGTAGGGGACCTCCGCCGCCCGCCCTACAGTCAGCAGATGGCCAGTGGATTGGTTCAACTCTGCTCTGGTTGGATGCCACTGCCGGCCCTCTCCACTCGTCAGCGGGGATCATGAACGTCAGGAAAGCGAGAGAGCGACCTGGAACTCTCACAGACTCTCCGTCAGTCAGTCTCTCGAGACTTGCCGGTCCCCCCTCCTGTGTGTTGCTAACTTGCCCCAGCTGATTTCCCTCGAATTCGGCGCCAATGGCCTGGCATCCACGACACGGCGACAGTGACACCACACACACACACACACACATACACACACACACACACACACAGCCTTCTTCACTCTCCATTCGCAAGCGGACGAACAGCCCTGCATCTTTCTGCAACCTGCCACTAGAACCGCACACTACTGCAGAGTCACAGGAGGACGTGGGCTGGACGCAGATGGGGGCGGGCTCTTATTAATCGCGCGCCTCTCAAGCACTGGACTGACCACACAGCTCACCATTGGGGCGGCGGGCCTGCCAAGTCATTGACATTTAGACACACTGGGCTCTACGGATACACTTCCAGTCAGACAAAGTTCACACTTGCCTGTTGCAGCCCGTAACCTTCACATTTGGAAGCCTCGCCCCATTGTACACTACCGCGTACGGCGGTGTCTATTCAGGGTCCACACTGTCCTTTCATCTTGCATTAATTCGGAAGAAAATGGACCACGAGTCGGCCGGCACAATTACACAAGACGGGCCACTGTCAACCAAGAAGTGACCGGCTGACCGCCCCCATAAGCATCGCGAGATCACGGGGCCCTCACTCAACGGAGCTGCCGTTGGGGGGCTCCCCTGCTTAACATTCAGCGGTGTCCCCTCGCCTAAAAGGGGCAGACAAACGGACACCGCTACAAGACCAGGGACTCTCACTCATCCACTTCATGAATGGAACCCTGCGCGGCGGCAACCAGCACGGTTGTGGGCTCTTGTCTCCTTCTGCAGCATTGTGCCGCGTTCCCCAGCATACCATTCCCTTTTTCACTGGATGAGATGATGTGCTTCGGGCCTGGAACTCTGGCTGGGATTTCCGCCTTTCGCGACCCTACCATCCCGCCGCTATGCCCTCCGTTCATCCCGTAATTCCCGCGCGCGACGTGACGAAATGCGACTCTCGGCTCATGTCTCTCTCATCGACGGCTCCTGAACCCACGTCGACTTTCTCGAATTGACGCGCACCTGCAGCGTCTCCTCTCAGATACCTTGTTAATTATCAAAAGTTGGATCGCATGGTGTCTCCTCAATTTCATCTAGACAGTACCTATGTCGCCATACAAAGTTTTCGGACGCTTTGTGGGACTAAACGGGAATCGACCCATCTCTGCCTCGCAGTACCTAGCTGCATACTTACCTAGTCAAGGGGAAATAAAAGCGAGGAGACTATAACCATCTCAGATTCAGTATCTCTCAGTATACCCTGTACCCGTACCGACATCATCGCCAGATGTATGAAGCGATGGTGTCTTACGCCATCCCGAAACCCTCCGCAGGTCCAGCAATCTGCAGATGCCATCATCTCTTGATTCTCGTAAGAGATCGTCACTTTTCCCCAATGCCGTCTGGCATGATCTGATATCATTGGTGCTCCTATGCGGGGTCTCATGCCCTCCTTTTTTTGCCTCACCACCCACCACCCGCCACACACGTCTGCCAGTCTGCGTCACCCTGCGGCCGACAGGTCCATCGCCTGTCACAGAGCGCATCGAGTCCAACTAGCGAGCGATCAAGCATTTCAATCGTGCCGCCGAGACGCGAGACAGCACCGCGTAACAGTAGCGCCGTCTACCGCGCATTTGATTGTTTGATAGGAGGTAGGTAGACCTGCATCACCGTGATAGATGATTGCAGAGACGGGTAGCTGCGCTTATTGAGGGTGTCTAGGGTAGTGTCACGTCTCACGTGCCTTCGCTCGGACTACATTCAATGGATGGTCAACAACTTTTGACGTCTGGCATTTGGGATATTCTTATTGAATTCTTTAGGAGTTTTTTCCTTTCTCCCGTGACCATCATAATCCTCCTTCCGGATTTTGTTTGCCTTGATTAACGCCCGAAGAAAGTGTCATGCCATAACGTCAAATGCCTGCCCAGATGCCAAACCCCCCATCACGAATGAATTAAACCGCTTTTGCTTAGTACAGAAAGAGGAAAAATTTACTCGGCACGGTACGCAGCGATGCGCTCCTTGACCTTCTGCTCCTTCTCCTCCTTTGTGAGGCGCTTGGTCTTGTACTTCTTGGACTCGGCCTTCCACTCCTCCTTGGTCTTCTTGTTCTCGGACTCCTCCTTCTTCCAGGGGTCCTCGCGGATGGCGGCGTGGGCCTCGGTGTAGAGCTCCTCGAGACCGTCGGCCTCGACGTCGTCGTCAATGTACTGCTGGAACTGGGACTTGTAGCGCTCCTCATCGTCGTCGGCGAGGGTCTCCATGTACTCGGCGACGTGCTGGCCGAAGATGTAGTTCTTGAGGGTCTCGGCGTCGAGCTCCTTGGACTCCATGTCGTAACCGGGGAAACGCTTCTCGGAGTGGGGGACGAGGATACCACCGTCAGAGGCACCCTTCATGGCACCAAAGACACGGGCACCGGTGGAGGTGCGGTGGAGACCGACGTCGAGGTTGGCCTTGAAGGGGCGGCGCTCGCCGTCATCGGTCTCAGCGGCCTCGGTGAGGGTGAACTCACCGTCGGCCTCCTCGACACCGGTGAAGGTCTTGTCGAGGCCGAGCTTGGAGAGGGCGCGGCGGGCGATCAGGAGACCGGTGGCGTAGGCGGCGGCCCAGTTGGTGAGACCGTGGGTGATGCCGTAGGCGGGGAGCTCGTGGGCGTAGGCGGCGACGAAGACCTTGTCGCCGGTGAGCTCCGAGGTGACGATTTGCATGATGATGTCCCGGTTGGTGAAGCGGACCACAAGACGGTACTTGGGGGCACCGTACTTGTTCTTGGCCTGGGTGATCAGGCGCTTGCGGGCATAGTAGTCGGTCTTTCCGGATCTTCTACGCTTGTACTTGGTCTGGAAGCGACTGGAGTGGGAATGATGGTCAGCAAACTCTAGATCACGGAAAGAAAAACCAGGATCGAAATTCAAAAGGTGCGATTGGCACTTACCTGTAGTACGCGCTGTTCTTCACCAACTTGTGGAAAGGCTGTGTACGAAAAGATAGCGAGTCAGCAATTTGCGCTTCAGATATGGCCTGTTGACCCGAAGCATCTTGCGTTGACTCTCAATCCCAAGAGACATTTCTGTCTGCTACTGGGGGCCATTTCTTTTTTTCGCCATTGCTGGCTTAAAGAAGAGTTTTGGTGTCGCAATTTGTCATTCGGCCATTTTTCAGGCTGTTGACGAGCTGATGGTGATGTATCAACTTACCATCTTGACGGTATATGAGCGGGCGGTCGGCTCAAATTTGTCGATGTGGGTGGTTGTCGAAAGGGGTTGTCAAGAGAAAAAAAGTTCCAAGGTGCAACTTCGTGATAATATTCCTCTGTGGGTTTTGGGGCAGCCCTAGAATGTGTGGCCCCACCCTCCCTTCTCGATTGTCACTCCCAAAACAGGTCGGGGACGAGTCACGTGGAGATTGAACTTTGGCCGGGGACGAGCTGGTCTGTGCAAAGAAGCCAAAGCTCTTGCTTACCTCATCTTGAGTGCCCGATTGACGGATTCCCTTCTCAACTTTGTCAATGCTCTGGGCCGAGGTCCACTGGCACAATCCGCACCGAGGTGGGGGCTTTCCCCAGGTTTCGGTCATTGCTGGTCTCCACGACTTTCAAAGCTGGGTTTACTACAAGTACCCTTTGAATATTGTAGATTTGCCCGTTTCTCGGAGCCATGCAGTCCTTGGAAGAGTCCGACAATTTCTTGATTGACCACATTCTCGAGGCTGTGGGCGATATGGCAGACTCCAAGCAGCCCAAGGTGCTTTTGTTCGATATTGGTGGTGTTTGTGTAAGTAGCTCCCTGTGAATTATGTCACTGTTCGCTGCCCATTGCGCCTCCTGCCCGTCAGCGTATGGTTCTACATCTTGCGTGCCCCATCATCACAAATGCCGGCCATTATACTGACTTAATAAGGTCGTATCACCATTCCAATCCATCCTAGATTACGAGCTCAGTCTCGGTATTCCGCCAGGATGGGTAAACTACTCTATCTCAAAGACGAGTCCCACCGGCTTCTGGCACCGCCTTGAGACGGGCTCAATACCCATGGACCAGGCCTTCTTCGAGGGCTTCACCAAGGACCTTCACGATCAAAGCCGCTGGGAGGCATTCTACGCCGCTCAAAAGGCAAAGAACCCATCTCTCCCACAGGAGACGCCGGCCTTACCTACCGTCGACGCCAAATACCTCTTCAACACCATGATGACCAACTCAATTCCCCCAGACCCGTGGATGTACCCGGCACTGAAGAAGCTCAAGGCCAGTGGGAAGTATATTCTCGCCGCGCTGAGCAACACTGTCATCTTCCCCGAGGGCCACAAGCTGCACAGGAAGGACTTCATGGACGACCCGGTTCGCAGCTTATTCGATGTGTTTGTCTCTTCTGCACATGCTGGTTTGAGGAAGCCGGATCCGAAAATGTACCAACTTGCGCTGGACAGGCTGAATGAGTATGCCGCCCAAAATGCGAATTCTGAAAGAGGTCAGGCCCTCAAGTGGAGCGAGGGTATCAAGCCACAGGACATTGTGTTCCTAGACGACATTGGTGAGAACCTAAAGGAGGCTAAGAAACAAGGTTTCAACACTGTCAAGGTCCATCTGGGACGGGCCTACGAGGCCGTAGAAGAACTAGAAAAAGTCACTGGACTGGCATTAGAGGGCGACCACCCAAAGGTCCCAGTGAAGCCGAATCTGAAGGGCAGTGGTAGAGCGAAATTGTAGAGTCAGACGCGTAAGGGAGGGTATTCTTATTAGATGATCGTGCCTAGGTTCTCCGAGCTACATAGATATAAAGGGCATCCACGTTGGTGACTTGGCCATCAACGGCAGCCTTTTCCCATTCCTCATGAAATAGAGCCCTAGCCTGGTCCCTGAACTCCTCCGTCGGCAGACTGGTGACCAACGTCGTGCTGGTGACATGCTCAAACTGCTCGTCAATCTGGTCCACGCCATAGGATTTGTTGCCCTGACCAGAGATGTTGTGCATTAGCTCGATCCTATCCACCATGTACCCAGCGCTCTCGAGAATCTTTGTGAAGGAGTTCTTGTCCGTGATCCAGGACCTGTTGCTGGGAAATCTCGACCGCAGGCGCTTGGCCGCCTTCTCAAGAATGAGGCCGATCTTGAAGTTGTCCTCGTGCGTGATGTCTATGACCACCCTGCCTCCCGGCTTGAGAAAGTTGCGCCACTTCGCAACGACATCTTCTGGATCCTCAAAGAGAACAAAGGCACTGGAGCACAAGATAGCATCGAAACTCTGACCCTCGAGCTCCGGCAACGTCTCCAATTTCGTGGCATCGTGAAGGAACAGACGAATGTTTGCACTGGGCTTGAGGCGCTCTTGCTTCTCCCTTGCTTTGTTGAGCATGGCTTCGGTGACGTCGAGGCCGATGATCTCGCCCGTTGCGCCTACCTGGTCGGCAGCGGTGAAGACTTCTAGGCCAGTGCCACAAGCCAGGATCAAGATGCGTTCTCCGGGTTGTACGTCGGCGACGGCCATGAATCGCTTAGTCCATTCGGGATGGAACGAGTTCTCATAGTTGTCTGCTCGCGCGGTGTACATGCGCTGGGACGAGGTTACCTGTGTCTCGGAATCGAAGTCCATGATGATTGATTCTGCCCGGTCAACGTATGTTGATTATTTCAAAATAGACATTCCAAGAGTCATACGACAGGTGCAGAATTGAGGCTTTAGATGATGTGATGTCGGTGGCCAAATGTCCAAAGTTAAGTCCTTAAAGTCCGGGCTTACCTACTCCGTCGGCACTACGATCCGATGATCTGCAATCGGCGCAAATGCTTGTTTCCTCCACGATGCACGAACATGTTGATCAAAGGTGAGTCAGCAAAGGCCAGCAAGCTTAAATACACTTGCTTTCAACTTCGGAGTCCTTCGGTGGTATACGAATGTCCGAATTGCTTCTTGTCAAAAGTCAAGGAGGCAGACCTTGCGTACCTCCGAAGCTGTCACTAGCTCCAAGATCACGATACGCTGATTATTTAGTTATTCATATGCGGAACCTGGAACAAAAGGAGCACAAAAAGTATAGCGCATCAATTGTGTAAGGAAGATGCTATTGATACGATGCATTGTCTGACCGGGGATGCGAAAGAGTGTACTATAGATTCTTCTCCTTCCTTCCTACCTAGGTTATCATAAAAAGGCGCAACGGGTTAAATGGTCGAGTGGGATATGGAGGATAGCGATAGAACGGATTCCAATACTTCGGCCACCCAAACCGACGCTTTTCGTTCGATTCCATAATGGTGAATATTTGCCCCCCCCCCTCCTTCCAAATGCCTCAATTACTCTTTGGCCTAGGATGGAACAAAAAACTGCTCCCGACTGCAATCATTGTTCTCTTCTCGAACAAGCTCCTCCAGCTGTGGTAAACCTTCCAAGTCACAAAACCATCTGGCCTTTTCCGTTCAAACTTACAGAGGAGGGAGTTCCATGATTTCTGTAGGCTACAAGAACTCATGCCTACGAAAATATTTTAGCCGTTAGGGGAAGAGTCTGGGAAACTGGTTCTCACCACCTAGCATCACGCGTTTACGCATGTTGGTCCTGCTAGATGATGCAGTATCCCGGTCCGCACGAACAGTGCATAGCTGCATGAACCACCTTTGAAGTAACCCAGAGCGTATGGCAGATTTCAGTCATACTTAAACGTCTTTGCTGTTCCTGCCTTACAAAAAATAGATGTTGCGATGTGAGTCCAAAGGAGCCACTTCGGTTCCAACACATATATTGTCAGCGTGTGCGTTTCATTCTTTCCAGTTTGTGGAATTCATTATGTGATAAACACAACATTGCCTCCATTTATTTTGGCCATATCACCCCAAGCCAAAGAAATATAAGTTTTCAAGTCTGTCGGTGAGCGTTGGGTCCCCAACCCATGTGCCACCGTTTGCTTGTTAACTGCCAAGACAAGGTAGTCTGCCGAGATGCAGCATCTTGACACTTTCAAGAGGGTCACTCTGAACTCTTTGGCTGTGGGACTCCTAGAAGGGTCATTGACATTCATCTCGTCGGATGGAATGACCCCATCTATCCGCTACTCTCTTTCACTCGCAAATCGCAACCCCACTGCCTGGGGCTAAAATGTATCAGACTGTCTGAACTTGACTCTGCACTGGCATGAGAGCCTGCACCTGTGTTCCTGATTGTCTGTTATCTAGCAAGCGCATCTGCATCAGCAGGTATCGAAAGCGCTTGCTGAAGATTTTCAGAAATCAACAGCGCAAAACACATGCGGCTATGTGCGTATGCCAGGACTCCGAAACCATCCACTGAGCACCAAGTTCGCTCTACAGGTCTTAGGTTCTGGTCAGAAACTCTTCCTATCTCATCCGGAAAAACGCTGAAGAAAATAATCGAGTGTAATGTCTCGGACAACAGTGCAAGTGGTAGGGTCTATACGCCCATGTTCTTTATCGTGGCCACCTCACCGCCATTGCAGATATTGTAGAAACATGTTCCAGTAGCTGCTAAGGCGCAGATTCAGACCAAAACTTGTTGGCCTTTCGAATCGTTCTGTCAACTTTCCAATGACTTCTAACGACCGCCAGGGCTGTCCCTAGTCCGACGTGGCCTCAGTGCAAATGGGCGGTGCGATGTATATTTCAGGATGTCGGAACCCATCTTGACGGGTTACAGTAACTTATATTCATATGAATTCGCTAGCCAAACATCACTCTACCTCACCCTGTTATCCTCCAATCTCTCTTATCCCATCTTCAAGCAACCATGGTCGTCATCACCAAGACCAAATGGCTGAAAAGCACAGCCGAGCTCCAAACATGCCTCGGAGTCAACTTCAAAACCTGCTTCAACTGCCAAGGCCACTCTGCCACAAAGTCAACCTGCGGCAACGCAGTCAGCCAGGCCTCGCGATCCGAGATACCGTTTGTGATGCTCGACATTATAAACAGCAACGACTTGACATCTGCCTCCGCTCACCTCCAGCGCCTCGCCAGTTTTGCCTTGTGCAAAAGATCTCACCAGTCTCAGGCCGTCGAGAAGGCCACGCAGTGGAAAGCTCGAGTCAGGTCGTACCTGCAAGTCGGTGATGAGACGGAGGTCAAGATTCCTGTCGGACCGCAGCGCACCACTACGACTACTACCACGATCATGACCACGATCACGCCGCCTTCCTCTCCTGTCGCCAACAAGAGGGAGGAGAGGCAGGCGGCCGCAACTACTAGATCATCACGGCGCAGTGCGGCGCCGCCTCCGGTCGCAGCGAGACGAGCCACTCGAGCGCCGAGGGGCTCGACACCGTCCACTGCTATCCATCTCGAAGAGGATTCAGAAGAGGATTGTGAAGAGAAGGAGACGCTTCCAGAACCCAAACCAGTCCGCAGTCGAACGAGAGGCGCCCGGGCCCCATCGGTCAAGTGGGAGCTCAACGGCGGAGCTGGCTTACCTTACCCTTACCCAAGCCAAACGGAGGATCGAGAGAACCTCGAGTATGAACTCGCAAAGGCCAAGGCTGAGTTGGCGATGTATGACGCGTGGGCTAGACTTCGAAAGTTTGAGTAGGAAGTGGAAGATTAGAGTTAAACTGGGTTTTAATTGTTTGTTGGGGGGCATTGATTTCAAGGAACGTTCAATCATGAGCAAAGATTGCGGCAAATAGACGAGGACATGTGAGTTTTCTTTCAAGGGATTCAGGAGAGGAAGATTTGGCAAATAGAGCAGCGCAGATAGAAATGAAGGCACCGCACATCCATAACACAAAACTTGGTCTTCATATTGGTTTACAATCATGGCCACATGATTCCCATTACTCCAGCGCCTGATTCCACGGCTCCCACGTCTGCTTATCATAATTCGCCATACACTTGACCTTCTCAGGCGGATCAGCCTTCCAATCCACCCTGAAATCTTGCACCTCGTCCTCGCCTCCCACCCATTGACTGGTATACCCCTTGGCCGCCTTAATCTTCCTCCCCGCCTCATCACTGTACTCCAAATTGACGCTCGGCACCACCGCAATCTTGCCGAACCCGGCGTTCCACAGATCCTTGCAGAACAGCTGCGGCTCGCCCTGGAAACACTCCCCAGGGCTCGGCGCCCTAAAATGAACAAGCCGATCTAGCAGCGGCCTCGCCGTTATCGCCACGGCCCCGTTCCAGCACGAGAACACCTGCAGCGGCTTGTGGTCAAAGAAGCGCCGGCGCGAGGTATCCTCGTTCCAGAAGATGTTCCACGCAGAGTTCCAGTTACCGTCGGCGGGGATCTCGAAAAAGGAGTCGCCCGCGATGGTCCGGCTGATCCACACGTCGTAAAAGGTCGGGTCGGCACCGACGTAGGTCCAGTCGAAGCCGCACGTCATGTCGGCGCCCAGGTATAAGCGTTGGTGGGCGAGCTCGAGGATGTCTTCGAGGCAAATAGCCACGTCGTTGAGGAAGAGGACCACGGCGTCGGCGGCGTACTTGCTGGGTCCGCCCGAGACGAGGGGCGCTAGGGCCATGTTGCGCAGCTCGGCGAGTTTGGGGATGCGATCTCCCGCGCCGGGGTCGAGGTCGCTGCGGAAGAAGTGGTACGCGGTGCCGAGCTTTTCGATCTCTGGGCGGAGGAGGTGGAGGATCTCGTAGGTGCCGTCGCCCGAGTTACCCTCCACTATCGAGAGGACGCAGTTCTCCGGGCCCAGAAAGTGAAGGGCTTCGACGATGGAGCCTAGGAGTCGCGGAAGGAGGTCTGCCTTCTCGCGTATGTTGAGAGCGATGAAGAACTTGGGTTTCTGGAGCGTGGTACTGGGTTTGAGGTACTGGTAGCGTGAGATGTCGGGACGGGGGCAGTCTAGCCTGGGTAGAGATTTGTCATCTGGGTCGAGGATCGAGGTGATGTAGAGCGGTGCATTTTTGAGGTGCTCCGGGTTAGCGTCCGGCAATGCGGAGCTGGCGCCGCCGCCAATGTCTGGGGATGGCACCGGTGGTGGCGTCGGTGTCGGGATCGTAATCGGGGGTAGTGGCGTCTGAGACGGCGCGATAGCCGGCGATGTTACGGCGGCGTTCGTCTGATTTTCTCCATCGTGTGGAGCTGCTCCGTGCGCTTCTTCGGTCGGTTTTGGCTTTCCTGAGTCAAGTGTCAGTTCAGTTGATCCTTCTTTCGACGTCAGGTTCGACGACGACAGCGCAAGGTAGGTTGTATGGTGGGAGAAGCGTACGGAATGGCTTGTACGCGATGTCGAAGTATTCGCGCCCCGAGAAAAGATCATATGCGACGAGCAAGCTGATGAGTAAAAGGCACACCACACCCGCCTGTGCGATAGTACTGTGTATCCTTTTCGCCATAGTTTGCTCATGAAGGATGGAGCATTACCATCGTGGTACCAAAAAAGGGGCCAGAGGTTGGGAAGAGTCAGGAAGGAAATGACCAGAAAGAAAGAAAAAAGGAAGGAGGAAGTGAAATCAGTCTCAAGTATGACAGAATGGGATGTACGGGCAAACGCGCCTCTTCCGATCGAGGAGTGTGACCAGGGGTCGCTTTCTTTGGGGGCGACCAACACAGCTCAAGTGCATGTTGGAAGCGAGAGAGCCCATGTTCGTCCTCTTTTGCCAATGCCATTGCGGACCACTAATTACCCTAGGTAAGGTAGATGCGCGCCAGCCTGCCCGCTCTGTTGGACGGTCGACATCCGTGTAGAGGCATAGGTGACAGAGAGATCCTGAGCACATCGTCCCGCCCCCCGGAGACGAAGTCAGGAGCAAGGAGCCGAGGGCTTTCGCTGGGCGCTTAACCGCGCGATTCGCAGTCGCGGCCTGGTTGGTCCGCTGCACCATGACGGACCCGCAACCAAGGCCGTTTCCCTTCCTTTTCTGGTCTTCGTCGTGTTGGTTCTGCCATGTTGGTTCCAACATTGTTGCCCATCTTCCTGTGCCCAATTTCACCTCGAGGCTGGCGCATAAACCACCCATTGTGTCGGCCCCTCTTTCGCCCGGTCACCTCACCGCTGCCGCAGAAAGTTGCCTCCTCACGAACCATGGGGCCCTGGGTGGTATTAGAAGGCGCCCAGGACTTGATAACTTCACGGTGATTCGTCGAAAGGAAATGAGATAACCAGGGTCTTACCAAACTGTCGGGTCGGGAGCAGGGCAAAAGTTCACAATAACCTCATTTTGTATCCCTCGCCCGTTTGCAGGGCCAGCCCAATCCTCGAATAGAGTCCATGGCTGTGGCGAAGAAATGCCACAAGAACCGAGTACGGTACCCGGAGTGCGCTGTCCATCGCCTTGGGTTGAGAAGCTGAGAAGGCCGGATCTCTTCAGTTCAGCTGGGCGGCTTGCTGCATACTTAGTCCAGTGGCCTGCCTTTCGCCCCCTTTCTCTGCTTAACATGCTTGATGTCTCTTCCTCTTATTCTGCGAACCGCTGATCTTTGCTTCGTTGATTTTCGTTGTACGACTATACGATAAATCTTGTTCCTTACGAGCCCTCGCTCGCTCACCCTTACGATAATCTCTAGTCACACAAAATCCTTCTCATGTTGTTATAGCGACACCTCAGTTCACTCTAGAACACTAGTAGAGCCCTTCTACCTACGTCTTCAGCTTCGCCTGGAAAAGGACGAGAAAGAGGCAGGCGAGAAGTGGCGATACTGATAAACCAACCAAGAACTACAAACAGGAGAAGTCCTGCTGTGTTTAACTATACTTCACTGTCAAGAAACGTGGGACATTTCAGTATAACCCACCCCACCATGCCTCGAGCTCTCTTTCTCTTTCTCCTCCTATTTGCTCTAGGACTGGTTCGCGTCTTAGCAATCAACCTCCGCTATGCGCCCCTTGCACCACCAAAACCAACAAAGGCTCCTTCGCGAAGCGCCACAAACATCTTGAACGACGATCTTAAAAGACGACAGGCCACCTCCGTAACCTCCGTGTGTGGATACTACAACGGCGACCCGGCAAAGTCGAGGACAGCAGACCCGGGCTTCGGCTGTCGCCTTGATATCGACCGCGGGCTTTGGGGCTTCTGTCCCACGACCGTCATCTCTGCCAAAGATTGCGGGCTGGCCGGCAACTGCGTCGACTCGCAAAACTGCAAGTTCGGCTGCGGCAAGACGGGAATCGCAGGCCTGACGACTTTCACTTGGTGAGTTTTCCCTCTCTCCGTGTTTTGTAAGACACGAACGGAACAAAAACAAAGGAACGAAGACTCACAGATGTCTACGAAACCCATAGTGCAACAGATAGATTCTGCTCCACCGTTCTTCTTGAAGGAGGTTTCGAAGGAGGCTTCTCCTATATTGCGTGCGGCAACACAGCGACGGTAGAAACGTTGCTCAAAGAACCCATCGCCACACCCTCAGCACCCTCAGACATTGTCGCGACTACGGAAATCCTCACCCCCACCGACGCCGCCACCACCACAACAACACAATCATCTGCGTCAACTTCCTCGTCAACATCATCTCTTACCTCTGCTCCGTCCTCAGGCGTTTCTCCTTCCGCAACGCAACCCACTTCCCCAGCAGGCCAAACAACCTTCCCAACAGGCGGAACCACCTCGTCCTCGGGGCCAAGCAACACAGGACCCATCATCGGCGGCGTCGTGGGCGGCGTCGCCATCATCTGCGTCACGGTCGTCGTCGCAATCTACATCATGCGACGGAACAAGCGTGCAGAGGCGGAAGAACCTCGTGAGAAGAGAGGAAGCCGCTTCAGGTCGTGGGGCCGGTCGTCATCGAAGCCTCCCAACTATGAACAGAGTGAAGCTATTCGGGCGGATACACGAGAGTACGGCGGTGCCGGGCAGAATAAGATGTACGCCGGGTGGGGTCCGTCTGAAGTATATGGATCAGAGCCTCGAAGAGACCCCACAGCTCCGGTTGAGTTGCCGGGTGCTTCCCCTGTAGAGCTTCCTAGTCGGAGAGGTTAATGAATGTTAATGATAAGGTTGTGTATACGTAGAGGTGACAGGTCTAGTCAACTGAGTTGTGAAAATAATGGGAAATGGGGGAAACAAAAGATACAAGATGAGCATCGCGTTATAACTATTACATACTGTCTTCAAAACCTACATCCAAGTCTATATGGTCGAGATGGTACCCGATGGGTCTCATTTGTACGCATGGTACCAGCGGCGGCCGTCAATGTAGTTTGTAAACGATTTTTGTGTATTCTTGTGTGCTAAACGACAACACGTAGCTATGCTATGAGTAGACGCAGGTTTTCGCTGATTCATGATCATATCCTTTTTGAGATCTCAAACAATCCATCCTCTCCTAGAGGAAGGGCCGAGTTCGCCGACACAGAAACGCCGAACACTGGTAACGCTTATTGAACGCTTATTTCTTTCCTTCCTTCCATTTCTTCCCGACCCTACATATATGTCCTGCACCTTGTCTCTTCTGTCTATGTTCCGTGCAACTTCTGGTTGAGGCCCAATAGGAGCTGCTTCACCGAGTTCATCAAGTGCGACTCGATCCCGTCAAAACCCGCTGGGGGCGACCCTGAGGCGCTGGCTTCCGCAGGCGGGGGTACTATGCTCGCGTCTGCCAAGCCCAATACTCGATCAATGGCGGATAAGGTGACTGCTTCGGCCTTGGCCTCGCCGATTCTGCTCTTGAGCGCATTCGACGAAACGTTCTTGAACCCGAGTAGGGAATTGAAGACCTTGGAATCAAAGACATTGGTCGGCCCAGTGGGCGTGGGCGTGCCCCCTGATCCGGGAGTGTTGCTTCGGGTAGAGAACCCGTCTAGGAGTTTCTGTATCCCCTTCATACAGATATCCTCCATTGTTTGATTCTCTGTGGCGGCACTCTTGAGTCCCAGACAACGGTTGAGGGCAGACATGACAATGGCCTCTGCTTTGGGATTCTTGGCTTTCTTCAGGTTCTCAATGAGACCGTTCTTGAGACCATTAACAGCTGAGAGCAGCCTGGGCTGAATGACGGGACGTGGTTCGGCTTGAGCTGGTGGTGTAGGCGTAGGTCGAGCTTGCTGCGGCGGGGCAGCAGCGGGTATCTGTGGTGGGGGTGGTTGCGCTCCAGGGATGGCGGCTGGGGCAGGTTGTGTGATGGGCGGTGCTGAGGTTGCGGCGGCGCCGTCTTCGGTCTTGACGGCGGGATGAGTTGGGGGTGGTCTTGAAGCGTACGGCGAGCTGTATGTAGAAGGCTGCCCTGCGACACCTTGAGGCCGTGCGATGGCAGCAGCGGCCCCGTATCCAGGGAGCGTTACTGGCGCCACTGGTTGGGAGGTCACTGGCGGTGCGGGCTGGCCAGCGTTCGGCGTCACACCGGGAGGAGAGTATTGTGGCGTCCTGGCTGCTGTCTGCGCTTGCTGCCCGGCATAGGCTTGCGCGTGGTAATTGTGAGGCAGATGCTGGTAGCCAGGAGGCATATGACTCTGCTGCTGCTGAGCGTACTGAGTGTACATTGGGTGGTTGTAGTGACCATAGCCCGCACTCATAGAACGGTCTGGCGACGTAGCCTTGCGCTTCTTGCCAGCATCGAGCTCGACACCGGGCACCCTGGACCACAAGCCTGTGGTATCGTCCTTCTTGAATGCTTCGTTCCCGATAAGGTTATGTCGTACACTGGATTCCCAGCCCTTTGTCTCCGTGTGGAAGTAGAACCACGGGTATCTCTGAGTAATTCGTTTGTAAATCTGTTTGAGGGTGAGACCGTCAGGCCCTGCCGCAGTGAGGGTCTCGTCGATGAGCACTCCGTAGTTCTTGTTCGGCTTCTGCAGCTGCTCCTCTGTGTAGTCCTCGATCTTGAGTTCGAGAGGGGGCGACTTGGGTCGAGCCTTCTTTTCCTTCTTCTCTCTAGCGCGTCTTTCGGCATCTGATCCTTCGGCACCGTCTTCGCCCTTTGGTTTCCGAGGCTTGTACTTGCGCTTCTCTGGTCGATCGCCCCCTTCATCTGGTAGCGGATGTTTCCTAGGACGGCCGACTTTCCGCTTGATCGGGGGCTCTCCGGGAGGAGGCTGTGGTATCGTCTTCTTGGCCATCTCCTGCTGAGCCTTCTTAAGCAGCCGCTGCTCTCGCTTGGACATGATTCCGTTCTTTGGTGGTCTGCCGGGCCCTCTCTTCTTGTTCAGATAGCCTAATGGAGCACCTCCCATCAGAAGATGCACCATCTCTTGGTCCTCTGCCTTGACCTCTGTAGTAGGTTGGATATCGTCTGCTTCCTCTCCATAATCCAGTGACATCTCTCCCTCAGCATCAGCTTCGGCGTCAGCATCGGCGTCAATATCGACTTCGGCATCAGCTTCAGCGTCGGCCTCATCATCAGCCTCCGCTTGTATTTGGGCTGCCTCTGCAGCATCGGCTGCTGCATCTGCGGCTGCCTCTTCTGCGGCGGCTGCTGCATCTGCTTTTGCTTCCGCCTCGGCCTCGGCCTTGGAACTACTTTCAGCTTCCACTTCTTCCTCCTCTTCTGGTTCGACATCTGACATTTCTACATCTGATGGCGCTGGTGAGCTAAGGGAAGAGTCGCTTGTATCGTCGAGGCCGTTGCCATGTGAGGCCTCAAACTCGAAGCTCATTTCCTTTCCACCCGTCGCTTTCTTCTTGAGTTTCTCTTCCTCTTCCGCATATTCCTCGGCACCTGTCCGGCCTTCTGGAACACCGTTGATCACGAAGCGGAAATCAACGTCCTTGATTTGCAGGTGATCACCACTCCGTAGCACGGCGACACCTTCCTTGTGGTGCACTTCATCGATGAAGAAGCCATTCTTGTGGAGTGGAATAGCCTCAAAGACTCCTTCTCTCTTATTGAACTGGATCTTCAAGTGCTCTCTCGAAATAGCCTTGGTCTTGCTGGCGATATCAGGTCCAGGCGAATGGATGCCGACAAAAGGAACGTGGTGGGGAGAGGGCCGTAATGAGGCCAGATCCACGGCTGCAGCACCCGGCGTGTGCGAGACATACTGCCGATTTGAGATGAGCTTTTCCTGTGACTCGTCCTCTTCCTGCTTCTGTGATGATCCGGTGCTGGTCGTCTTGCGGCGCTTGGCCGGCCGCCCCTCGCCTTCACTGTCGGACTCAGGTCCCAGCATACCTCCCTCTTCACTGACATAGGACTTGCTGAACTTTCCCGGACCGTGTCTGACGGGAGAAGGAGGCGGAAGACCCTCGCGTTCATATTCCTCCGCCTTCTTGCGATAGGCATCATCGCGCTTCTGGTCTCTCCGCGCCTGATTCAGAGCCTTCTGATCGCGACCGATAATGACGGCGTAGGTGGTCATCTGGAAGACACTGTCGGCGAATTCTATACGCGCAAAGGATTCGAGGCCTTGTGTTGCCGCGGCGAGATTATGCGTGCTTGCGACGAGCGGATCGTTACCGTTGCCCATGGTGCTCGGGAGGGTGACCTGGGCTGGCGTGACGGTTGGAGGCGGTGATATTTGATTGGACATTTGATTGCCAGCCATGTGCGCCAGAGCCATCATCATGTAGGCGTGGTCCATGTTCGGCATCGGGGTGTGTGGGAAGGACGAGGCGAAAGGGTCGGCGTCAACATGCACGGCTGAAGCCGGCTGCGACATTGTCGCGGGTGGAGCGCTGCCGGCGTCGGCGTCGGCCATGAATGTATCGACGGCTCCAGAGGTGTTCTGCTGTTTGGTCGACGCGTCTTCGATAGATTGATATGCGGTTGTATGTGCGTCGGTGCGCGATGATTGCTGCTGGTCGGCAGCGTCCTTGGCGATGTGATTGTTGTTGTCGTCGGGGTGGTCAGTTCGGGCTGGTGTCGTCGACTTGTTCTTGGGCGGCGGCGTGGTCGGAAGGGGCGCCAGGCCATTTTGGCCGGCGTTGGACGAAGTCATCGCTGCTCTGTAGTCGGACAGATCAGCTCCTTCGCCGGCAGCAAGCCAAGAGAGGCGATTTGGTCAGGCGCGACGAGGTATGGACCTGAGAAAGGCTGCGATCGAGACGGCCGAATGCCAAAAAAATCGGCGTTGAACAATTCAGTCCTGGCTGCGATTGACAGGGTCGACGGAAGCGTCTCTGATTGGCTGTCGGTGAGATTCACCGCGGACACTGAACACACCAGCCTTCTTCCCCGCGCTGTACAAGTACCCAAGTACCTTTTTCCTCTTCCAATAGGAGGAAAGAGCCTCCAATCCAGCCCGTCCCTGCCCAGCCAGGTCCTTCCTTTTCAGCGTCTCCGTCGCCGCCTTCCCTCATTTTGCCCATCCATCCAATTCGGGGATTGGAAAGAGAGCTCCTGGCTCCTGCCCATTTGCCAACGCACGCTCCTTCCCTTCCATCTCCCTCATATTCGCGACTACAGCTTCCCTCCACAATCTAATGGAAAGCAACACCGCGCCCCAATCCCATTGAAGCTATGACTCATACTGTTACCTACTTACCTTATTATGGTCCTTTGATGCGGCCAATTGCATTCATGTGAGAAACTCCGTACGCGCCTCAATGCCTCAGCCTTGGACCCAGCGCTTTGGTTCGGACCAGGTCTTGCGGTGAGAAGCAAGGCTGTTCACGATGCATCGCTTCGGTCAGGGTCCGAGAAAAAGCCTCATCCGATTCCTTGCAGGCTTAAAACCGCAAAGACAGCACCACCCTGCGTAGACCGCCCACTTCTTCCCACCTCGGTGCCCACTTGTCTCGGTCAAGCCCCAATAGCATCGTCTTTCGGTGAAGGAGAAGCTCGTGTAGACCCTCTATCTGATATTCGCGACCCTCGCAAGCACTCTATAGTTATCATACTAAACTTGGAAAGCAAACTGTTTCTACTCCGTAACGCCGTTATGATCAAGCAGTGTGTATATTGCTGACTTGTGGTTTTATTCCCTTTTGCTACTCATTGTGTGACCGTCTGTCGTTGAGGAGACGTTTAGCACATTCCGAACTAAGAATGGTAAAAGTTTGACCAGCGGCCGGTATCCGTCTCAGAAAGCAATTCATAAAGGCGT